GAGGAGAGTGTTGTGTTACACAGCCTCGCTGCTGTCACTGTTGACAAGTGATGCTGCCTAGAAAGGGCAAGATTCACCCTGGATGGTCACCGCATTACAGTCACCAGTCACCAGCTTGGTTCTTCACAGAAGGGTCGTCCAGATAGCTGGTTCATCAGAGAAGAGTCACCCTGATGACTGGCTCATTAGAGAAAAGTCACCCTGATGACTGGTTCATCAAAGATGAGTCACCCTGATGACTGGTTCATTAGAGAAAAGTCACCCTGATGACTGGTTCATCAAAGATGAGTCACCCTGATGACTTCCTAATCATCACTGCAACATTACAAGTTCTTCGTTCGCGATTATTGCACTCACACATACACATATATATCTACCTATATATATATATATATATTATATATATATTATATATATATATATATATAATTTATATATATATATATATATATATAATATATATATATATATTATTTTTTTATTTTTTTTATTATCACACCGGCCGATTCCCACCAAGGCAGGGTGGCCCGAAAAAGAAAAACTTTCACCATCATTCACTCCATCACTGTCTTGCAGAAGGGTGCTTTACACTACAGTTTTAAACTGCAACATTAACACCCCTCTCAGAGTGCAGGCACTGTACTTCCCATCTCCAGGACTCAAGTCCGGCCTGCCGGTTTCCCTGAATCCCTTCATAAATGTTACTTTGCTCACACTCCAACAGCACGTCAAGTATTAAAAACCATTTGTCTCCATTCACTCCTATCAAACACGCTCACGCATGCCTGCTGGAAGTCCAAGCCCCTCGCACACAAAACCTCCTTTACCCCCTCCCTCCAACCCTTCCTAGGCCGACCCCTACCCCGCCTTCCTTCCACTACAGGATGATACACTCTTGAAGTCATTCTGTTTCGCTCCATTCTCTCTACATGTCCGAACCACCTCAACAACCCTTCCTCAGCCCTCTGGACAACAGTTTTGGTAATCCTGCACCTCCTCCTAACTTCCAAACTACGAATTCTCTGCATTATATTCACACCACACATTGCCCTCAGACTGACATCTCCATGCCCCCACCTTCCCTCGCTGCAACATTACACCCACGCTTCACACCCTAAAAAGGCTTTGTAAAACTAATTCAACTTCCCCTCTTTGCCTCAAGGACAAAGTTCTTTTTTCCACAGACTCCAAAAGGCACCACTCACTTTTTTTCCCCTCACAATTTATTTTTCCCCTATCTTTCATAGCCCCATCCGGACAGTCCCCCCAAAATCAAATTTCGTTCACCTCCCCAACTCTCCCCCTCCAATCTGATATTCAATCTTTTTCACCAATCTTTTTGTTATCCCATAACCTTACTCTTTCCTGATTCCCCTTTAATTTTCTTTTTTTGCACCCCTCCCAAAATTACCCCCAAATCTCTGCAACTTTCTTCAGAATCTCCAAGAGCACAGTGTCTCAAAAAGCCTTGACAACTCCCCTTTGTGGTATTCTTTATTTTTTAAAACCCCACGCCTTTGACAAGCCCTCGCTTTTATTTCTCTTAAAACCCCCATCTTTTTATTAAAAAACCACGGTACACAAACATCCTGTCAAGGCCTCTTTTACTGGGAAAAAATTTCCCCCTTTCCACATACTCTAAATTCCCCATATCCCGAAAAAATCTTTACGCTTTCATACCTACCTCCACCCATACACTTAACATCTGCCAATGCCCCCCCCACCACCCCCCTTTTCGCCCCTTTTTCCCAAACCCTAAATCCACAAAGACCTTTTAGCCCATTAAATACTGTTCACTTATTGTTTTTACTGTAAAAACTGGTCCACACACCCCCCCCTTCCTAAAGCCTCCCGGTTTTTGCTATCCTATTTTCTCTTTCTCTTAATTCTTTCAATATAAATCTACCATACATTTCCAGGTACACTCAAAAACTTAACCCCTAAATTTTTGCACTCTCTTTTTCCCCCTTTTCCTTTTTTACAAAAAGGAACTAGCATGCTCTCTGCCCAAACCCTAGGTACCTTACCCCCTTCCATACATTTATTAAATAATTGCACCCAAACCCTCCAAAAATATTCCCCCCCTGCTTTTTAAAATTTCTATCTTTTTTCCCATCAAACCCCTGCCCACCCCTTTTATTTTACCCACTGCCTCACGAAATTCCCCCCCAATCCAACTGGCTCTTCCTCACTCTAAAAGATGTTATTCCTCCTTGCCCTTTTCCGAAATCACAGCTTCCTTCTTCATCAAATTTAACAATTCCTAAAAATTTTCCCTTTCTTTTTCCCAATACCTTAAATCTCCTTTTAATAACTTTTCCTTTTTTTAAACTGCAATTCCATTTGTTCTCTAGGCTTTTTTAAACTTGTTAATCTATAAAAAAAAAACTTTTTTTTTTTTAACAAAATTTGTTGATAACATCCCCCCACTCTCTCTTTTGCTCTTTTTTTATTTTTGCTTCACCACTCTCTTAACTTCTCTCTTTTTCCCCATATACCTTCCCTTCTTGATCACTTCTCTTTGTAAAAATTCTATATGCAAATTTTTTCTCCCTTTACTCTCTCTTTAAAATCTTATTCCACCAATCGCTCCTCTTTCCCTCCGCACCCCTTTTCCCGTACCCCAAACTTCTGTGAACACTCTAACCTACATTTTTAAACCTACCCCATACCCTTCGACCCCATTGCCCAGCTTCATTGCCCATCTATCCTCCAAAGCTTTTTCTTACCCCAATGCCCCCCTTTTGTTTATAAACCCTTTACCTCTCTTCCCCCATGCTTTATTTCCTTGATCCCCTCACCTTTTACTTCGTGTGCTACAAATGAAAGTGACTGATATATCTGTGGCCCTATAAACTTTTCATCCTGAATCTATCAACATTTTTTTTACCAAAACTAATCCAAAAACTACTGTCATTTCGCCCTACTCATACGTGTAATTTTTTTATCCCCTTTTTTTTTAAAATTTATTACCCTTTAAATAAACCCTTTTTATACAAGTTTAATCAAAGGGCTCCCCCTTTATTTTCACCTGGCCCCCCCAAACTTACCCCACCACACCCCCTCAAAAGTTTCTCCTACTTTTGCATTCAAGTCCCTACCACAATTACTCTCTCACTTGGTTCAAAGGCTCCTATACATTCACTTAACATCCCCCAAAATCTCTCTCTCTCCTCTGCATTCCTCTCTTCTCCAGGTGCGTACCGTTATTAGGGACCCACTTCTCGCATCCAACCTTTACTTTAATCCACTAATTCTTGAATTTACACATTCATATTCTCTTTTCTCCTTCATAATGATCATTTAACATTTTGCTACCCCTTCTTTGCTCTAACTTCTCAGTTTACTCCAGATTTAATCCATTTATTTCCCCCACTGAAATTTCCCCTACCCCTTAGCTTTGTTTCGCTTAGGGCCAGGACATCCAACTTCTTTTCATTCATAACATCAGCAATCATCTGTTTCTTGTCTTTCCGCACTACATCCACGCACATTTAAGAAACCCCAGTTTTATAAAGTTTTTCTTCTTCTCTTTTTTAGTAATTGTATACAGGGAAGGGGTTACTAGCCCATTGCTCCCGGCATTTTAGTCCCCTCATACGACACGCATGGCTTACGGAGGAAAGTTCTTTTCCCACTTCCCCATGGACAATAGAAGAAATAAAAAAGAACAAGAGCATTTAGAAAAAGGAGAAAAACCTAGATGTATGTTTTATATATATATGCATGTGCGTGTCTGTGAAGTGTGGACCAAAGTGTAAGTAGGAGTAGCAAGATATCCTGTTATCTTAGCGTGTTTATGAGACAGAAAAGAAACACACACACACACACACACCCCACATATATATATATATATATATTATATATATATATATATATAATATATATATATATATATATATATATATTTTATACACTTGACAGAGAGACAACAACGAGTCATGATACGTGATGAGGTATCACAGTGGGCGCCTGTGACGAGCGGGTTTCCACGGGGGTCAGTCCTAGGACCGGTGCCATTCTTGGAATATGTGAATGACATGATGGAAGGGTTAGACTCAGAAGTGTCCCTGTTCGCAGATGATGTGAAGTTAGTGAGGAGAATTAAATCAGATGAGGATCAGGCAGGACTACAAAGAGACCTGGACAGGCTGGTTGCGTGGTCCAGCAACTGGCTCCTCGAATTTAACCCTGCTAAATGCAAAGTCATGAAGATTGGGGAAGGGCAAAGAAGACCGCAGACAGAGTATAGGCTAGATGACCAAAGACTGCAAACTTCACTAAAGAAAAAAGATCTTGGGGTGAGCATAATACCGAACAATTCCTGAAAGGACATCAACCAGAAACTGCTCCAGCATATGGACACCTGGCAAACCTGAGAATAGCGTTCCGATACCTTAGTAAGGAACCGTTCAAGACTCTGTACACCGTGTACGTCAGGCCCATACTGGAATAGGCAGCACCAGTATGAAACCCACACTTGGTCAAGCACTTCAAGAAACTAGAGAAAGTGCAAAAGTTTGCAACAAGGTTAGTTCCAGAGCTAAGGGGAATGTCATACGAAGAAAGGTTAAGGGAAATCGGCCTGACGACACAGGAGAACAAGAGGGTTAGGGGAGACATGATAACGACATACAAAATACTGAGTGGAATAGATAAGGTGGACAGAGACAGGATGTTCCAGAGATGGGACACAGAAACAAGGGTCACAATTGGAAGCTGAAGACTCAGATGAGTCAAAGAGATGTTAGGATGTATTTCTTTAGTCAAAGAGTTGTCAGGAAGTGGAATAGTCTGGCAAGTGATGTAGTGGAGGCAGGAACCATACATAGTTTTAGGACGAAGTATGATAAAGCTCATGGAGCAGGGAGAAAGAGGACATAGTAGCGTTCAGTGAAGAGACGGGGCCAGGAGCTATGTATCGACCCCTGCAACCACAAATATGTGAGTATAAACAGGTGAGTACACACACGTGACATATGTTGTAGGAAGAGTAAAAAACACATTCTTGTATATAAACACATATTTATTATTTGATCATATGTATACTTGTATACATATGTATACCTGTATACACACAGTGACTAGAAATTAACAGGGATGAGGAAACCCATTTGTGACACACCACAACTGTGACCTTCCTGTTGGTGGTGGCTACACCACAGTGACCTGTTAGCACTGCCAACATCGGGGAAAACACCATGACACGGTGTGGGTCACTCCTCTAGCGGAGGCGCTGCCAAGACTGTGGTGTCCCAGGGGTGCATCCTTCAGGAGCGCAGACGCGGGGTGTGGGACGGTGGGACGCACTTCATATTCTCGTAGGCGGCCCAGAAGGCGATGCCAGGATCGTTGGGAGGCGGGTCAGGGCTGGTGTACTTGCAGATGAGTCCAGTCTGGCAGGGACACCGCTCGTTGATAGCGTAGTCGGGGCCTCCCTCGGGCACGTAGCACTTGTCCCCCTGCTGCAGGAGGCGCTGGCACACTTGCTGCCCCTGGCGGCGGGCGCAACACATCCCTGGGTCGCAGTCGCGCTCCCTGCGGCACCTCGCGCCTTCGCCACCGCGAGGCACTCGCGCCTCACACGTGCCAAACATGCAGTCCATGCCACGTTCACACATGCTGTCGCGGCGGCAAGCTGCACCCTCGGGCACCCGCTGGCGACACACTCCGTAGTGTGCGTCGCAGAACTCACCACGCGCACACACGCGGTCGTTCATACACAGACGCTGCAACAGACACAAACAATTTAGAAAATTGTGTAACAACGTTTCGCCTACACGGTAGGCTTCTTCAGTCAAATACAGTCAACAAGTGTAGTAGTGGTCAGTCCCTCAGGGACTGACCACCTCAAATACTATTTCTCAAAGGTTGATGGACTGATTACATCATCTTCATTTCACTACTACACCTACTGCCTCTGCATCTGACTGAAGAAGGCTACTGTGTAGGCGAAACGTCCCAACAATAAGCCATTTTACGTGACACATTCCCTAAAGTTTTTAACAAGCGTATTTACCTATATGTTCGCAAAAGAATCACCAGAGTCACATTACTGCAATTATTCTACAATTATTCAGTAATTCTACAATTATATATATATGAAAAAAATCACTGTTGTATTTCTATGTATTGCACCAACGCTGATGTTTCGTGACAAATTTAAAAATCACGAACGTTTCGGCAGAGGAAGTTGTGTAGACTTACCAGGTCTTGGTATGGGTTGTAAGGCTGGACGGGCGTGTGGGCGTTGTTAAGATCACGGGTGTTGTGTCGCCCGGGGACGTCTTGGTATGTGGGTGTGAAGAGCCAGGCAAGACCGTGTGTAGCCGCGGAGCAGCAGCCCACCAGCACCCACACCTGCATCACAACCCACCGGGAGAACCCACACATGTATCCGGAAATATCGACGTGCGTGTGTGTGTCAGAAAGTGTGAATCACAGGTGCTGACAGCTGTGTCCTCTCAATGCCTCTACCTGTGTCTTCTGCGGTACAATTGCACTTCCTTGCCCTCTTATAAACCTCGGCCTGTCACGTGACCTCTCTGACCTGCATCGCACCTGGTAGTCTCTTGCTCACCTGTGTGGTGGATGGATGGGGGTCAGTGTACCCTCCCCTCCATCAACTCCACTCTCCCCTCCTCTCAGTTGAAAAACTGTACTGGGGTTTAAAAAAATTTTTAAATATATATATTTTATATATGTGTTGTGTGTGTGGTGTGTGTGGGGGGTGTGTGGTGTGTGTGTGTGTGTGTGTGTGTGTGTGTGTGTGTGTGTGTGTGTGTGTGGTGTGTGTGTGTGTACTCACCTATTTGTACTCACCTATTTGTGGTTGCAGGGGTCGAGTCCTAGCTCCTGGCCCCGCCTCTTCACCGGTTGCTACTAGGCCCTCTTTTCCCCGCTCCATGAGCTTTATCAAACCTCGTCTTAAAACTGTGTATGGTTCCTGCCCCACTACGTCATTTTCTAGGCTATTCCACTGCCTTACAATCTATGACTGAAGAAATACTTCCTACTATCTCTCTGACTCTTTTTGGGGTCTTCAACTTCCAATTGTGGCCTCTTGTTTCTGTGTCCCCTCCCTGGAACATCCTGTCTTTGTCCCCCTTTGTCTTTTCCCACGCAGTATTTTATATGTCGTTATCATGTCTCCCTGACCTCTGTCCTCCAGTGTGGTCAGGCCGTTTTCCCCTTTAATCTTTCCTCATAGGACATTCCCTTGCTCTGGAACTAACCTTGTCGCAAACCTTTGTACTTTCTCTAGTTTCTTGACGTCTTTATCAAGTGCGGGTTTAAACAGGTGCTGCATACTCCGTATGGGCCTGACATACACGGTGTACAGTGTCTTGAATGTTTCCCTTACTAAGGTACCCGGAATGCTGTTCTCAGGTATGCCGGCGCCCATATGCTGAAAGCAGTTATCTGATTGATGTTGTTTCGGAGACATGCTCGGTGTTATACTCACCCCAAGATCTTTCTCCTTGAGTGGGGTTTTTGCAGTCTTTGGCCACCTAGCCTATACTCGCCCTGGGGTTTCTTCTGTGCCCCTCCCCCATCTTCATGACTTTGCATTTGGCAGGATTAAATTCGAGAAGCCATTTGCTGGACCAGGTGTCCAGTCTGTCCAGGTCTCTTTGAAGTCCTGCCTGGTCCTCATCAGATTTAAAATTCTCCTCTTTTAAACTTCACATCATCTGCAAACAGGGACACTTTCCATCAAACCCCCTTCCCGTATGTCGTTCACATTCCAAAAAATGGGAAATGGCCCGGGAACCGACCCCTGTGGGCCCCCGCTCGTAACAGGTGCCCACTGTGAAAACATCATTACGTACCATGACTCGTTTTTCCCCTCCTGTCAGGTTTCTCTGCCCTTTGGGCAGTCCCCTTTCCCCTGTTATATGCCCCTTATGCCTCTTCTGCACTAATCTCTTGTGGGGGAACGGGTGTAAAAGGGGCCTTGGGGGCAGCCCAAAGAAGATGCAATCAACCACCCCTCTTCTTTTTTGTGTGTGTGTTTTGTGTGTGGGGTGTGTGTCGGGGCCGAATGGGTTTAAAAATTTTGGGCGATTTTGGTTTAAAATAGCAACGTCATCTTGTCGAAAAAGGCGGGGGAAAAATTTTGGGTGTATCCCAAAAAAATTTCGCAAAAATCTTTCTGAACCTAACGAAATAAAATTTTTTTCACGGGTTTTTTTATTTAATTTAAATTTTCTGTAAACTTGTCTAAAAAAAATATTTTGTTTGGGTTAGGGGTAAATTAAATTGCGCCCTTTTTTTAATAAAGGGTTTGGTAAGTTTTCCCCAGGTTTTTTGGTACAAAAATTTTTAATTTTTACATTAAGAAAATTTAAAAAAATTATCTTTAAAAATATAAAGAAAATTTTGAGAGGATTTTAAAATTTTTTTGGTTCTTTCTTTTTGAACCATTTTTACCTAATTCCCGGGACGACACACACAAACACCACCACAAATCACACACACCCCCACACAACACAACACACACACGCACACAATTTTCACACACACACACACCAAAACCCCTTACTCAACCATACAAAAATCAAACACAAAACCCCAAAAAATAAAAACCCACACATACACACAAAACCCCACACCACACACACACCAAAACACACCAAAATAAAACACACAAAACACACACCAACCACCCCATACACAACACACAACCACACACACACCAAAACCCCACACACACACACACCTCACACATTAACCCTTTTTGGTGGCCCGGGTTTGGGCAGAGTGGGCCCTGTTTACCCCGCGGGGGGGGCCCCCGAGGGGCCTTTTTCCCAGGACCCCCGTGCTGGGTTTTTGGGATTTTTTGACACATGAAAGGAAGGGGAATAACCCCTGAGGTGTTTCCCGTTTTTTGATGACGTGAAGTTTATGAAAAAAAATTCACTCGATCGAAGACCAGGGAAAACTACAAAAGGGGTCTGGACAGGGGGCAGCCCGGTCAGCAATTTTGGGTCCCGGAGTTTTAACCCCACCCAAATGCAAATTCCCTGAAGATTGGGGGGGCAAAGAAGACCCCAAAAACGGGGTCCCGTCTAGGGGGGCAGAGACTACAAACCTCACTCAAGGAAAAAGATCTGGGGTGAGTAAAAACACCAGCACATCTCCTGAAGCGCACATAAACCCAAAATAACTGCTGCAGCATATGGGCGCCTAGCAAACCTCAGAACAGCATTCCCGACATCTTAATAAGGAATCATTCAGGACCCTGTACACCGTGTACGTTAGGCCCATATTGGAGTATGCGGCACCAATTGGAACCCACACCTAGCCAAGCGCGTGAAGAAACTAGAGAAAGTGCAAAGGTTTGCAAAAAGGGACTAGTCCCAGAGCAAAGAGGTATGTCCTACGAGGAGAGGTTAAGGGAAATCAACCTAAACGACACTGGAGGACAGGAGAGATAGGGGGGACATGATAACGACATAAAAAATACTGAGAGGAATTGACAAGGTGGACAAAGACAGGATTTTCCAGAGATTGGACACAGTAAAAAGGGGGACACAGTTGGAAGCTGAAGACACAGATGAATCACGGGGATGTGGAAGTATTTCTTCACCCATAGAGTAGTCGTAAGTGGAATATTTTTGGGAAGCGATGTAGTGGAGGCAGGATCCATACATAGCTTTAAGCAGGGGTATGATAAAGCTCACGGCTCGGGGAGAGTGACCTAGTAGCGATCAGTGAAGAGGCGGGGCCAGGAGCTCGGACTCGACCCCCGAAACCCAACTAGGTGAGTACACATACACACACACACACACGAAACACACACAGAACACACACACACCCCACACATACACACAACAACATACACACATACACACATCACACACACACATACACACACACACACATACACACATACACACACACACACACACACACACACACACATACACACACACACACACAAAACACAACACACATACACACAAACACACACACACACACACACCACACCATACACACATACACACAACACACACACACACACACACACCACACACACATACACACATCCCACACATACACACACACACACAACACATAACACACACACACACAACACACAACACACACACAACACACACACACACACATACACACACAAAACACACACACGCACATACCACAACACACAACACACACACACACACACACACCCCCACACACACACAAACACACACACACACACACATACACACATACACCATACACACAACACTACACACACACACACACCCCACACCACACACACACACACAAAAACACACACCACACAAAAAACACACAACACACACAAAAATACACACATACAACTCAAAAATACACACAAAATCATGGAGAAGTTTATCAGGAGAAGAGTGGTGGAACACCTAAAAAAGGAACGATCTCCACAACAGCAGCCAACTGGTTTTTCAGGGACGGGAAATCCTGGTCACAAGCCTACTGGAGTTCTATGACATGGTGACAGCAGAAAGACAAGAGAGAGAGGGGTGGGTGGATTGCATTTTTCTTTTGGACTGCAAGAAGGCTTTTGACACAGTTCCACACAAGAGATTAGTGAAAAACTGGAGGACCAAGCAGGATAACAGGAAGGCACTACAAGGGATCAGGAAATACTTGTCAGGAAGACACAGCGAGTCATGGTACGTGGCGAGGTGTCAGAGTGGGCACCTGTGACCAGCGGGGTCCCACAGGGGTCAGTCCTAGGACCATGCTGTTTCGGGTATTTGTGAACGACATGACGGAAGGGATAGACTCCGAAGTGTCCCTGTTTACAGATGACGTGAAGTTGATGAGAAGAATTTATTCGATCGAAGACCAGGCAGAACTACAAAGGGATATGGACAGGCTGCAGACCTGGTCCAGCAATTGGCTCCTGGAGTTCAATCCCACCAAGTGCAAAGCCCATGAAGATTGGGGGATGGGCAAAGAAGACCGGCAGACGGAGTACAGTCTGGGGGGGCCAGAGACTACAAACCTCACTAAAGGAAAAAGATCTTGGGTGAGTATAACACCAGGCACATCTCCTGAAGCGCACATCAACCAAATAACTGCTGCAGCATATGGGCGCCTAGAAAACCCTCAGAACAGCATTCCGACATCTTAATAAGGAATCGTTCAGGACCTGTACAACCGTGTACGTTAGGCCATTTTGGGAGTATGCGGCACCAGTTTGGAACCCACACCTAGCCAAGCACGTAAAGAAACTAGAGAAAGTGCAAAGGTTTGCAACAAGACTAGTCCCAGAGCAAAGAGTTATGTCCTACGGGGAGAGGTTAAGGGAAATCAACCTGACGACACTGGAGGATGGGAGAGATAGGGGGGACATGAAACGACATACAAAAAACTGAGAGGAATTGACAAGGTGGACAAAGACAGGAAGTGCCAGAGATTGGACACAGTAACAAGGGGACACAGTTGGAAGCTGAAGACAC